AAAGCAGCACTGGAGTGAAGGCAATAGAAACCTTAGTTGATAGTGTTGTATGTGTGAGATATTGGTCTTCTAGAGAAGCCATAAGTACAAAGAAACTGGTGCTATTTTAGGTGATAAGGCAGAATGCCAATGTATCTTGGAGGTAAGATCTGGAAGAAACAATCACAAGTAATTTCGGAAATTCTAGGATTTCTTTCACACAATTTGATAATTATTGATCTTCCCCTTAGCACATGACTTTGATCCTGGGAAAAAATATACATAGAAGAGAGAGTTAACACTAAAATATTTTCACTTAGTTATATTTTAATGTGAATGAGGTAACTGGGAGTAAGTTCTGATGGGAGACTAGAGTGTTGAACACTCTGGAATAGGATAGGAAGTGTGTCAAGAAATCCTTCCTTCCTTCCTTCCATTTCACGGATTGAACCTAGGGACTCTTTACCACTGAGCCACATCCTCAGCCCTTTTTTTGTATTTTATTTAGAGACAGGGTCTCACTGAGTTGCTTAGGGTCCCTATAAATTGCTGGGGCTGGCTTTGAACTCATGATCCTCCTGCCTCAGCCTCGTTATAGGCATGCACCATCGCACTAGGCTACTTCCTTATTCTTTCTTGGAAAGTCAGCACAACCAGAATACTGAACCCTCTGTTGGAAGGGTTTTTGTTAAGGTTCTCCTTTGTTCAACTAAAACTGGCTTAATCAAAACAGGATATTATTGGAAAGACACAGGAGTATTTCATAAGGCAGCTTGACCTTCTAGGAACTGAAACTACCTCTTCTTTCTCACTGGCTCCTACATGGCTCCTCTTGCTACTTCTGTGTATCTGTTTTGTCCTTTTTTTTCTTTGTTGTTTGTTTTCCTTGCATCTCTGCACACATTCCAAAGCCCCATAGTCTATGCATTTTATTACTAGCTACATGCAGAGACCAATTTCAAATTAACGGGCAAGAGAAACAGAGGGGGCTAGCTGGAGGCAGAAACCATCTCTGCTCTAATCATCTTTGACCAGGCGTTCAGGGATAGGTGGTGTAAATATGGCTGCCTGCCAAGGCCTCTATTGTTCTCAAAGAAATATTGTGGGTGGAGCATAAATCCCCAAACTAATCAATGACATCAACTGTCCAGGTTTCTACTCTCTTTCTCATACCTGCAGTATTATAACATGCAGTTATGGCTAAGTGGCAACAGTTGGAAGTCAACTGTTTGATCTCCTTTTCCTGTAGGTAATTTTCCCCAATCCTTACCGACTTCAACTTTGTATTTTCAAATTGTAAGCAATTCTAAAAATGTTTCAATTCCAAAACAGATACTATACAAACCATTCTAATTATATACATGCATAGAATATATATATACATATAAACCAAAACCAGGCCAACTTTAGGAAAACAACATATTACATATGTTTCCCCATCCAAGCAGCACAAAAGTCAAACAAGCCTAACTGAAGCCAAACAGTGCTTTTTTTCTGAATGAGCATAGGAAGCTTTAATTATCTCATCTTTTAGAGCATTTCTTACTAGTTTTTGTTTGTATTTTGGTACCAGGGGATTGAGCCCAGGGGCTCTTACCCACTGAACCACATTCCCAGCCCTTTTCTAAAATTTATTTAGAGATAGGTTCTCACTAAGTTGCTTAGCGCCTCCCCAAGTTGCTGAGGCTCACTTTGAACTCATGATCCTCCTGCCTCAGCCTCCTGAGCTACTAGGATTATACATGTGTGCCACCACACCTGGCCCTTTAGAGCATTTCTGACTTGAAGATATCATGCAATAATTGGGAGCAGTAGGTTACTGTATTTTGAATCACACTTGAACTTTCCAAAGCTCATAATCTGGGCTAAATATGTACTAATGTCTATTGACTTTCTGTGAGTGATAGGAAAGAAAAGTTTCACGGCTTGCAAGTTGGCTGGAAAGATATGTGCCAACTACTGAAGGTCTCACAAAGATTCTGAGCAATGGATTTTCCAAAATTCTTCATTGTGAAGAACTTGAAAATATCAAGGTCTTTAGGAATTGTAACTGGAAATTACATATAAAACTTTGTCCCTGTGAAATTTCTGTATTATGTCAAATTTATGCCATGTTCCAATGATAAGTAGCATTCATAGCTTGAAGTCAAATGAGAAACATGCTTTTTATAATCAAGTTAAATGTTTATTTCAATTTCATGTTTTGTGTCATTTACATAGACCACATGTCTCAAGTAATTAATGCAATCATGGGAACTAGAAAATGTTTAAAGGGATGTATTGCCTAAAAGGTAATAATGGGAAAACTTGTGCTACATGTGAGGAGTTGCCACATTCTCCTGAGCAGTGATATGGACAAAAGGGGACTTAGTCTCCCCAAATGCTTTGATACAGCAGAAATTTCCCTGGGAGAAGTTGCCAATCATGATAGCCACTATCTGCCTTTGTAGTTAACACACAGTATCAAAGACCAGCAGAGTTGTGTTTCTTCTGCACTTAACCCTTAAAATTTAACTTCTTAGTTTCCTGCTCAGGTTTAAAACAATTTATTTGAAGTCTTCCTTGGGAACTATACTTCTATTTTAAAATGGAATATTCTCCATGAATGATTAATATAAATTTCTTATTCCACTTTTATGATGATAAATTCAAAGCAAACTGAGGAGCAGTCTTCAGTACCATTATCTCTTACAGGAAATGTTTTAACTTCGTGGCTGGCTGCCTCTCAACTATAGTTTATAGGAAATGCCTTCAGGTCACCTACAGATGCATCCATTTCCATGCAAAAATTGTTCATACATATATAAAATACATATGTATACATGGCAGGATTTTGTGCACTAATCCTTGTTACATGCAGGGGTTGAAGTGTTCAAGGTTTCCAGTGGTTTGATGACATGATTTTCCAGTACTTGTTCCAAGCTTCTTTTATAATCATTATTTCTATGAAGTAATTCAACTTGGAAATAATTGCTTGCCAAAATTGAGTTTCTCTGGTGAACCATTCAACACAGCTTTGGTTTTTACAAAGAACACCATTCTTTCTGTGCTGTTAATCTTGGCTTAGAAACTACATATTATCCTTTCCACTTGAACAGTTCAGCTCCTGTTCTCTTAGTTATACTCTGGAGCCATTAGACTTACTTCTGGAATATAAATGTGAGTCACCTAGTCAGTGACTCTTTCAAAATAGATTTTCCAAATATAACTATATGGAACCTCTTCCCATTTAGTAGCTCGTAGAAATGTGAGGACTCCCCAAACAGTTCCCAAACTCGCTTTGTATAAGAAAACTATGAGTTTTTTTATTACATGGAGTTTTGTTACGTAGTCTCATTTTAACTTTCTTTGGTTTGTTTTTGGTACCAGGGATTAAGCCAGTGTTCTCCCCAGCCTTTTAAATTTTGATACAGGGTCTTGCTAAGTTGGTGAGGCTGGCTTTGAACTTGTGATCCTCTTGCCTTAGCCTCCCAACAGGCATGTCCCGAGGCCCCAAACTTCAATTTTAACTTTTGATATTGTTGCAATATCATGTCCCAAAACTTGACATAGAAGCTAAATTATTAAAATAAATTAGTGCTTCCTGTAAAAACACTCCTAAGCACTTAATTCTAATTTTGTTCATTCTTTTAATCTTACCTCATTTAATATTGCACTTCTGAAATGCTGTTAACAGAAAGTCATAGCTTGAAAATTTGATAAACAAATTAATAATTTAGGTATTCAGCAGATTCATGTAAACAATACACTACAATTTCACTATCAATATATCTCCTAAGCAGAATGACTCAAAAATCTTTGAAATGGAACATGCATGGACTCAAGAAAGCAGGCTACTCATAGCCTGTACGTACACTATGGAAATTAAAATTGCTTTGTTTTATATTCACAATGAAGTCTCTGAAGGTAGAGGATTTTCCTTTGTCAAATACTAGTGAAGTTATGTCTGCATGTCTTCCATTTTCAGAGAAACTGGGTCATGGATAATTACCAGGCAAAACATGTTTGTAAAGGTGATTTGCCCACAAGAATTCTCACACACTGAAAATGTATCAAATTCATGATGCTACTCCATCAAAGTTGAATACAGGCCACTGAAAAGGGAAATGTTTAAAACAATAGAAAAAAAAATATATATATATATGGCTTGATATTAAATAATCAGGTGATTTAAATTTTCTTCTTGGCAGAAAAATTAACTGAACCACTCAAAATTTAAAGATTCACATGAAAGAATGTCTTCATAACAAATGTATTTTATAATCAAACAGATTCTATCAATGCAAGAAAGTTTGCTTCATTGCGTATAAGTCTATTTATACCATCAGGAAAACTTTTGGGCATACATACAAATGAATTCTATTGCATGTCTAATTTAAACTGCTTTCCAATATGCTTGCCATTTATGCACACCAAAGGGTGATGAGTTTTTATTTTAATTTATGATTTTTTTCATATACATAAAAGCACATGTATGTACATGTGCACAAGAACATGCACTGAATTTTTTGTTTCTTTAATTAAAATAGAAAGCAGGCATGCCTGCTTTAATACTGTGCAAATGCTGAAAACTATACAAGAACAAAAAACACTGTCAAATCCTTTTGCTACTCTCATTTCTAATTGTGTGATTATAGAGTAGGAAAAATGATAGTCTACACTGCATCTCCTTTCTGAGCATTTTAAAACAGAAAGTTTAAAGAAGACATTTAATAATATTCCTCACTTTTATCAATGATTGTTCATATAATTCAGGTGCTGAAGACAGTAGGGATCTTGGGTAAGAATTCAAAATTTAAAAAAATTCTAAATCCTGTTTTGGAGACTAGGAGTATAGCTGTGGTAGAGTGCTTGCCTAGCACGTGTGAGGCCTTGGGTTTGATCTCTAGCACTTAAAAAAATTGTCTCATATGCTGGGTTTTCTAAATATGTTTTAAAGAAAAAAAATGAACTGAAGACATGTAATTTAGAAGTGCTGTCTAAATGGTTTACACAGCAGAGAAGACACAAACCAAACCACATCAGTGAAACCACTTTTATTTTTATTTTTTTTCCACATAGATAACTTCATGTCAACTACAAAAATCATGAAATGAACTGCTCATGAAACTGCAAACTCAAAATCACTGGAGTGATAAACAGGTTTACCCCAGATGACTGTTAAAAAAAAGTAACCAGGATAACATAAATTCATATTTAAGTAGTAAACATGTCATATATTTAAAAATAATAAATACAGTATAGCAGTAGAGAAATTAACAGCATAAACAGCATGAAGTATATTGTATTTTTTAAGACAGATGAAATTTCTAGGCACAGTTTTAGGCATTAAAGAGGACACAGAGGCATAGGTTAGTGTGTGCTGCTCTGTACAAAAATACAGTCTGAATAAATTACATTGCTAGCCATACAATTAGACATCACTTACCAGTCAATTCATTGCATGTTTAATAATATACAGGTACATGCTATTCCATATATATCATTTATATTTCAAACACATAGGTCTCTCTATTTATGACTTTAAAATTTACATGTTGAACTTACAAAAAGCTAATTACTTGTGCAAGAAATCCGAATAACTAGCCCTGCTGAGTACTTTTATGATATGCATGTGTGTATATATATTATTTCTCTAAGATAAACAATGGGTTTGTGGTTAACAATTTTGCTTATGAAGACATCAAACAAACCTAAAGCCACAAAGACATAATGTTAATGTTAAGTGAAAACTTCACTCATGTTTATTCTGATAGACAAAATAGTTATTTCAGATGAGCAACAATTTTCCTGTTGTACTGAGCCTTGCTAATAATGAAACACTCCCAAATATTAGGGATGGTAGAAATATAGCATAGGGCTATAGGGCTCTTACTGGGAAAGGACAAACGTTTTAGAAGAAATCTACTTTTCAATAAATGGCAATTATGTATGCCTCAACCTATAACATATTCTGTCATTCACTATCCAGCTTGTCATACTGACAAGAAAATGAAAAGTTGATTAGACTCTAAAAATGATATTGGTCTAACAGCACACTGCATCCTCCACTAGATCCAAGAAAAGTGCCTCATTGATGTCAGCACTAAAGTACTGTACTTCCATTATTCAGGAATAAAGACTTCTTACAATAGCGCATGTTTAATAGCTGAAATCCCTATCCAAATATCATATTTCTCATACTGCTCTGACAATACACAATAAACTGCAAGACAGTCTGCCCCAGATTTTACTATTTCTCAAGAAAATCACTTCAAAATACTCTATAATGCTAATACCTTTCTGGAAAATTTCCTCTCATAGTTTCTTATGATTCTTTATAGAATCATACACGTTTATAAAGGTTTCTCTCTAGGATACATTTAATCACCTTTGTCTATCACTACTAAACCTAGTAATAATAAACCTGGTACTTCATATTTACTTTTTGATTCTATAGAAAATTCACAAGATGTGGCCTTTTGGCATTTGAATAATAAAATAGTTTTATTTGAGGGGAAGAGGGCTGTTGTTTTGGCAACCATTCTTAAGACAAGCTGAAAGCAGAACTCTGTTCTGGGAGGTAAAGCAAATTATTAAACACTATTGATGTGGTCCTACTTTTAATGGATTTTTCAATACAATAGCACACAGGAACGTTTTAAGTTATTTTTCCAATGCTTCTTTCTGCAGAAGGGCCAAACCAGAACATATTATTTTAGTGTCTTTGTTAACAAAAATAATTATTTATAAGTTTTATAGAATTGTATATTTTATATAAAAATAGGTTCATAATTAAACTATCCAAATTTGTATATTAAACAGAATTAACATAAGCTTGCAATGAGAGATTAGTTGCAAACTTAGTACCTAGTATTGATATTTCCTTCCCTTGAAATAGTCAGTAAATGATTCCCCTAACATAAACCCATCATAATTGTGTGCACAAATCAGCCGATCAGTTAACTTTAGAGGACCAGGTGAAAACCAAACAAATTCTACTCCTCTATCAAGAAATTTATATAAATCTATCACTATTTCTTTTTTTTTAAATGAAGACATTTAAAATACTTGCAAAAAATAGCAGCCTTCTATTTTAATGAATTTTACACAAAGTGATCATTCTAATTGCTACTCTCTTTTGAACTACAGTGCTTACAGAAGAATCATTAATTTTAAGATTAACACCATTTCAATTTTTCTTCTTAGGCAATTCTATTAACACTTTCCAGTGAAACAGTACAGAACATAGAGCAAAAGCTTTAAGGTATATGTATTTTTTTTATAGTAAATAAGTGTGAATACCAATCTAAGCCTCTTAACAATGTGTACAAGGTTAGTGTTTCAATCCACTTCACTAGAGCAAATGTTAATTGTATGTGTAATTAGTAAATGATATGTGGATGGTTATGGAACAACTTATTACCATTTATACTAATGGTTCACATTCTATAAAAATACTTAGGCTTGTTACATATACACAATTGTTTGCTGCAATGTTTCGTAAATGCTTTAAAGGGTACAAAAGCAACTCATGCATATTTCTTTCTGATTGTCCCAGGGAAAGCAGAGACCCTTAATTCCCCCCCATTCTAGATGGGTCTGGGGCACAATTTCTAATCACATAATGAAAAACATATGTCTCCAAGTCTTGACTTCCTTCCCAGGGAGATGCTAATTGCCAAAGCATAACCTCCCATTAAAGAGTATTCACTAAGGTGGAATGTGTTCCATTAACCAGTTATATTCACAACTCCCATTAGAGGCTGAAGGGCATTCACTTTACAAGAGCTCACTCAAGCAAATAACCAACAGCCAATGTAATTATTGGGTGGGATAAGCAGGTGATAAGGGCTCTAACAGTGGAATCCTTTTCAGTGTACAAAGGAACTTCTAAATGCTGTCTATGCCAGCTGCTCCCCTGCAGGCAACAGGAGACTCAGGCAATTCTCATTCCAACTAGTTTCCCACAATGGTTGCTGTCATACAGACCCTTCACTTTTCAAGAAAAATGACATGAACATATTGGAAGTTTGCAGCATTTGCCTACGTCTAAACAGCTCTCTTAATTTGTGCAGGTCCCTAAAATGGATGTAAAAGCTGGTTATGATGTTGACAGCCAAAAGGCAAAGGATATTAAATCAACTGAGCAAACTGCTTGATGCTCCACAAGTGTTTTAGAAAATAGTGAGTTAGAAAAGATGCAGATGTAAATCTTTTGCTGGATGGTTGCTTTTTCTATTTTTTTTTTAATCTGCGACTTGGTTTTAGTAGTAGTCTTCATAGTTCTTAGGGTTCAGGCAGTAAAGGATGGCACCCCCAAATGAAAATATAGTTGCACCCCAAGCCAGGCCATAACCCCAGTTGAACTCATGGTAAATTTTCAAGCTCACAGTTTCAATGAACTTGATTGGGTAAAGAACCAGACTGCAAACCTGTAAAACAACTGAAAGAAAAGCAAATAAAAATTAGAAAATGTTATTTACAGGAAATAAAACAACATAAACATATAAATTGACATTTTAAATAAATAAGCATAAAAGCCAAAACATTTAAAACACTGGTTATTCTAGATGGTATATTTTAAAATATTAAGTTTTTTGTTTAAACACTTTCACAATATAGTAAGAATTACCTTATTAATAGTTAGTGAATCACTAGTATTTGAAGAAATAATTGGTACAATGTAATAATTTATATGAGAATACAAAGTAGTGATTCTCACCTTAAAAACACATATATTATTATCACTATGATGGCAAATAGTACTAGTTAAATTAAACTGTTCTATTATATGAAAACCTGTAAATAGTACCCTAAAAACAGTGACCTCAATGCAAACTTAAACCCTTGTTATTTATTTATGTGCTTGAGGAACTTGGGAATTCAAATTCACTTCTCCTGATGAAACTGGTCAACCAGTTACATTCATTCAGAATTCATCCAAGATGTTCCTGTTTTCATTGTTGCTTTGCATCCAACTCAGTCCAACACTCCAGAAAGTTCTACCTTGATGTGTTTCTTTCCATTATCTTGATCTAAAACTAGTTTCGTTTTTTCTCTTTCATTTAGTTCATGCTTCTGATCTTTAAAAAGAGGCTCAAAAATAATCTTTTTCAAGGAGCTACAACTAATTATACAGTTTCTGTTGGATCTAACAGATGATATTTACACATATATTTCCCATCTACTTTCTGTCAGTGAAGGCATGGAAGCTAATGTTACTGAAAAACTTGGGATAATGATGGCTACTACAGCAGAGCACAAAATTTAGCTTTTATTTTCTAGTTAGCCCTTAGTTCCCAGCCAGGACCAAAGAGAAAATGTGATGAGTCATATCTAACAAAATAATACATACCAATTAATCAGGAATGGCATGGAAGGAAAGTTTTATTTAAAAACTATCTAAAATTAAAATGGCATTTATCCTGTGATATTTTTATATGGGAGATGCTGGATTATAGAAGAGATGGTGTCATCTGTTTAAAATTCCTAACTCCCTATTGGATTCATTATTAAATAACTTATATTTTATTTAAATTGATTGAATGAGAATTTATGGGCTGTATCTGCCTCATTCTCTACTATATGACAGTTTTAACTCTCAAGAAATAGACAATAATCTCTCTAAAAATCTAGGGTACAGTTTATATATAATAGGGATTGGCAAACTACTAGATCTGGTCTAGTGCTTGATTTTTTATTTTTTTTATCGGTTGTTCAAAACATTACAAAGCTCTTGACATATCATATTTCATAAATTAGATTCAAGTGGGTTATGAACTCACGTTTTTACCCCAAATACAGATTGTAGAATCACATCGGTTACACATCCACATTTTTACATGATGCCATATTAGTGACTGTTGTATTCTGCTACCTTTCCTATCCTCTATTATCCCCTTAAAAACAGTTTTACTGGAATAGAGCCATGCTCATCCATTGATATACTGTTCACATTACAATGGAAGAGCTGAATTCTTGCAGCAAAAACAAAATGGTCCATGAAGCCAAAAAATATTTGCTTTCTGGACCTTCACACAAAAGAAAAGAGCTAACCCCTGATATAGTAAGTAAACTTTTTAGCTAAAATTATTATTATTTAATTCATCCTAAAATACTGTAAATTTCTCAAGTTCAAGAATAAAAATGTTAACAATAAAGGGAACGATTAAGGAATAAGAGAAAAAACAAATTTTGACATAGTTTTATACATAGACACACACACACACACACACACTCACACACACACATATACATACATAAAACCTAAGAGGCATACATCTTTTGAAATAGTTTACTAAACTTTTTAAAAAGAACAACAGTATGGACAACATGTTTAATAATACTGAAATTTTATGCTTTAAAATCCACTCTCATCAATTCTTTTTGCTTGTAAAGAATCATTTTGTCAATGATTAACATTCCTAGAAAAATCTACTTAACAAATATTGATCTCTGGCATAAAACTGAAGAATTATAACAAATTCACAAGGACATGATTCCTTAAAAACATTACTTTCTCCAAGAACCTGATTAGGAAGTAAAGGGTCATCTGGAGTCAGATATATAATAATTCCAAACACCTTTGCCTTGTAGCTCAACATTGCTCTAAGCTCCCATCTGTCTGCCACACTTCCAAGTTACTACTGAGAGTGGATGGATAAATAGGTTCACATAAAAAGTGAATCTCTTGATAGCCAAAATAGGAATCACATCCTGGTTTTAGCTTAAAAGACTTAGAAACTAAGGTTTAAGTCATTGTCAGGATTCAGTTGAGAACATATTATATAACCCACACTTCACCTATTTCTAGTGATACAATCTATAGTAATTTAAAAAGTCAGGTGGCTCTGTGCCTTTGTGAGGGAAAAGAGAACCTTCACATTTTAAATGTCTTAAAACTTACAAAAAGTCAATTGCTATTAACCATGAACTACATAAAAAGAAATTCCAAAGTTACTAAGTGTGCTTTTAAAAAGGCATTTCTCCTTTGGTTTCTATACTCTGGTTGCTAGTCAAAATACGGCTGATCCTGCCAGGATATGATTGAGACAGGAATGTGAGTTAGATATAGGAATTCATTTACTCCTTCAATAAACTCATAATTCAATAAATACCCCATTGTTTCTAAAGTAACACAGTTTAGGGCATTATTGATAACAAAGGAGACAAGGGGCTATTGCCACGGGTAGGCAGCTCATTAGTAAATAAATACTGATGACAATGGCAAGTACTTTTAAGAGGCATGAAAATCCAAGAAAGCAGGACCAGTCAGAGGGATGAGTGCTGCTCTTTTAGATCAATAATGAAAAAAGGGAAAAGGGAAAAGGACCCTCTGGGAAGGAACATTTGTGCACAGACCAGAATGGAATGAAATGGAGGCACACGTCAATATAGTGGGAAGTAAGTGCTGCAGGTAGAGGGCACAGTGGTTGTAGTACAGAGAGTGAAAAGCCCCAGAAGGGCCAGCGGGGACCTACTCACGTTTCATGGATAGCCTTGAGAACCATGGTTAGGGGTCTGGATTTTATTCTAAGTGTGACAGGCAGCTGCTAGAGGAATTTGAGCATAGAAGTAATAACTAATCTGAATTATATTCTAAAAGTATTACAATGCTTCTTTGAGAACCAGCCAGTCCCTGGAGTAACGTGTTTACCTATGCTGCTTTTAATATTCATTTCAATGTGTTTTATTTAGCCAATATTTGGCTTCCATGTTATAATATAAAAATACTTTCCTTATAGTGCAAAAGCAGAAATACAACTGCATTAGACTCCAGTGGCATACTTTCTTGAACTGCTTCTTTTAGACCTTTATTGTGTTGAATAAAGCCAGACGAAAATTACCCTAAAATGCTTTATGCCTCTGAATTATTTTACTTTCTTTGGAATCAAAGAAAAATGCATGCAATAGAAAAATATGATTCTGTATTGGTAAATAATTTTCTCCATGGATGTAGCTAAAAATGCCTCCTTGTCTTTCATAAATTCTGCAAAGGGAGTGGAAACTACTAGAGTTCAGAATTCAAGAAAATGTCATTAAGACTAAATTTCTATTTTACCATGAATCAAAGAAACCTAATAGGCACTGGCTATGTTATTCTCTGCACTCTGCCTCACAGACAACATAGGAAGTTATGAAAAATTTCAGAATTTATAAAGAATTTAGGGTTCATTCATGTTTCCCCTGGTTTTGTGAAAAGAAGAAATGAAACTACTGACTAAAAAATTATACGGAGAGAAGGATGACAAAGCTACTAATTCATGTGCTTTTGCGTGCATATTTCAATATTAAAATATTCAAAACACTCAATATATTGAAATATTCAATATTTTTTCTATGGGAATATTTCAACAAACATTTATTGGGCGTCCACCATGTTCTAGGTGAAGAGAATAAGAGAGGACCTGGTCCTTGACCTGGACATTTCACATTATTATTTGATTTGTACTTATCTGATAAGTACAAAGCAATGTGTTCAACAGCAGTTGTGGACATATTTATTTATAATCCATTCAACATACACTGACCAAGCTCCAATAATATGACAATTACCAATCCTGCTTAGAGAAGGAAGGGAGGGCTTCAGAGTGGAAGCACTGTTTGAACTGGTTCTGGAAGGATGGATAGGAATTGGCCAGAAGAGAAAGATGAAAAGACCCTTGGGAACCAGAAGTGGTTTGTATGAACTCAGAGGTATAAGAGGGTATACCTAGAGATAGTTCATGTGGGTAGAATAAAGGGTGCCTGCACAGTAAGATGTCAGATTCAGATTATAAAAGCCTTAGTGTATCATATAATAATAGACTTGTTTCTCTAGGAAGACATCTGAGATGTTATTTTAATGTAAATGCTGTTGGTGCCCTATCCATATACTCATTCTTACCACTTCAGTACATGCCATCTTGTACATGCCATTCAGTACATGCCTTCAAATTGTAAGCACTTGAATTTCTTTGCTTAAATTTCCTCTGGCCACTAAAGCTACTTTGCCTGTCTGAGGGGTGGATCAGAAGTTCTGGAAAATAAACACTGCTATCCCTCAATCACAACTAAGCCCCTTCCCATTGACTTGCAAAATTTGGTGTATAAACAACCCTGCTCCCTAGTCCCCCAGTGAGGTAACAACTTCTCCAGGAAGATTAAGCTCCAGCTGCTTCTTCTCTGAGTGACAACTGGCTTGGTAATGTTCCCTTTATTGGCTGCCTTCCCAACCCTGTCTCATTTTCCATATCCCTTACCATACCCCTCATTTTAACCTCCTGAATAAAGTATTTACACTTGATTCCTTGTCTTGAAGACTGCTTCTATGGAAACAAAAGTGGCAAATGATGAGACCAGATTTCAGAAATATATCAGTTGTTTTTGTGCAAGACAGACTAAATGGGGAAGACAATAGAGAATGAAGGGGCCATAATGTGTCAGCCAGTGCCTAGGTACCTGTGTGCAGTGATAACTAAGGTGGTATCAGTGGAAAAGAAAAGCCAGAGAATATAAAGAAAGACTATAAGAAAGAACTGCAAAACTAAATTTTAGGAAAGGGAAAAGGAGTCACAGACATTTTAAGTCATATATTGGTACAGAAAAATAAAAGAAAGTAGGGGGAGGCAAAATTTGGGAATGGAGGTATGTCACTTGAGGAACATATGTAGATTCAACCAAGTGGTGTTGGGTGGTGTTGGTGGTGTTGGGCTGGGGTGTTGTGGCTCAGCGGTAGAGTGCTTACCTAGCACATGCAAGGCCCTGGGACTGATCCTCAGCACAACATAAAAATAAGTAAATAAAATAAAGGTATTGTGTCCAACTATAATGAAAAAATAAATATTAAAAAAATATTGAAAAAAAATAATGGTGGTGTATGAAGACAAGGTGCAGACTTAAGAGAAAATTAAGGCAGAATTGACAGACCTTTCTAGCCAGGTCCCTAAATATAGAATTTACATAAAGTAAATGACAATTTAAAGAGTAAAGAGATTTGTCCATGATGGACTAATATGAAGCTATCAATTTCTTTAACTTATAACACCAAAAGTAGTAGTAGTCTATGAAATTACTTATTGGGTAGCGACACCATAAATTGTACTAGCCAAAGTGTAGTTTGATATTGGTACTTGGAAAGTAACATGGGATCTAAAGAACTGTGAGTACAAAGTCCTTTGAAGTTTGAAATCTAAGTTGACTTTTCTGCTAAAATCTAGACTCCAAGTGACTCTAGCCATCTTGTATTAAGTTACAGGCTAGTTAGGAGGGGTGTAAACCATAAGCCTCTAATTAGAGACAGCTCAGAAATAGAAATAAGTTGCAGAACCCTGGAAAAAAAAGTCATCATTCCACATAAATAATAATAGGAGACTTTTATAGATACAACAAAAAGGAAGCATCTTTAATAAAATAATAATTGGAGATTACGTTATTAAAAATCTGAATCATAAGAGACTAAAAATATTCTGTAATTTGTATTAATAAGGCTTTGGGGAAAAAGAAAAACATCGTAAATCCCTGTGGGGAATAAAAATGATCTCTAGCCAGTTCAAAATCAGACAATAAAAGAAGAGATCCAAGAAAGACAATCCCTCCAATTTTACCAAGTTTTTAATTAAGAGAACTGGGTGCCAGTTTTCACAATCATATCATATCCTGTCATTGAGAGCTATCCTAAAAGAAAACACTGTAGTAAACTGCACTAGAAACACAGATTTCATTATGTGCTATAGTTCAGTCATGCTGCACTGATCAGATGGTCTTTATGCCATCTCAAGTTGATGACTTCCTTCAGGTGTTATTCCTGAGATAGAGCAACTGAAGTTATAGGATGGACTCCAATTATAGTACACAGTTGGCAGCTGAATTCAAAATCCAGGTTGATTCTGCTTTGTTTTTTTGCATATATGATACACACCCCAGTAAAGATGACCAGTCAATTCACATAGATGTCCTGAATGTAAACTCTGGCTCTCCAACATACCAACTGGATAACTCTGGCATATTACTTTCCCTTTCTGAGCCTGTTTCTTCATAAATAATATGGGGAAAATAAGCATCTAATTTTAAGATTGTTATATCAGAAATAGCACATATTAAAGTGTCTAAGACTGTGGCATACGGTAGATGCTTAGTTTATTATTATTATTATTATTATCATCATCATCATGGATAACATCTGGTTCTGAAATCTAGATTTCTAGGACTGGTAAGAGAGTTATAAAAAATGGGGCAATGGTTTAGAAAGGCTGTAATGATGGCTTGCTCTTGCTCTGCTACCAACTTTTCAAGCAGCTAACAAGCTCCCTTGACCCTTGTGGTAATGAAGGACCTCAAGACAAAGAGAAGATACAATCTTTAAAATTCCTTTGCCTGTCTTTATGAGATTTAGTCATCAGCTTTCAGGAAAAATCATTAGAATTTATTATCTAAATGTTAAGATATTATATTTGCATACTATAAGTGTCTGACATTTGTTAATGAATGAATAAAATATTAAAATGAAAACAATCACTTTGATAATTATTACTAGCTTTGTGGTCATATGAAAGTTGCCACTTCATAAGTTTCAACAATAGAAATGTTTTTTAATTACAGTTGGTTGTTTACATTTTTGTATTTCCCCACTGGATTATAAGCCACATGACTTAGTCATCTTTTAGCATTTATTCAGAAACGATTTACTGAGTACATCTGAGTACCAGGCAAAGCACATGGTACAGAATTAACTATGTAGCTCTGGATAGAGATGTTTCCAAGTGCCAGTGATATGTCTGTATTGAATTTATGTGCTACATGTCTCAGCAAAAGATGAAAAAAACATTTCTTTTTTGAGATAGGCATCATTCTCTATGTGTGTGAACACCAAAATAATACTTATTGTCACAAAGTTTGAGGCTATTTAGAGAAGGAAACATTTTGAAAAGAGAAACACAGACCATTTACAAGTAGAACAAGATTTGTAAAAGGGGGAAATGGCCTGAAATACACATTTAGAAAGAATCACTACTTAAATGCATGTTTAATAAGAGGCAAGAAAAATAGAAAACCAAAACTTTAGCTGGCATTGTTTCAAGTAGGCAGATTATCTAACTTTTCCAATCTTAAGCATAAATCAATAATAGATTATTATGCATAATGAATATCTTTCTTATCCAGAGATCAGCTGCAGGTAATTCTTTAATGCTCTTAAAATGGAAGAGAGAAACCTTTATGTGACATCTTACAACAGCCAGTGAATTTTATCTTATATGTACAATGAACACTAAAATAATGGTTATTTCAAAATATGTCCATAATCATGCTCTCAAATGATAAAAGAGTAAAATTAAATCTCAATATATGTACATCTAAAAAATATAGTAGTATAATGCTCATTTTAGGTCTCAGAAGGTAGAACAACACTGTGAATTTTGATGTAGGAATTCCTCTCATCATTTTATATTTTAATAATATATGTAGTAGGTAGAGCTAAATCAAAATATTTATTTCAGCTAAATCTATTACCTTTTACTTATGTTCATTTACAATGTATTTTCTATTACAACAAGTACTTATTTTCACAAATTTTTCTGTATTTGTAAAAATACAGACATTTTTAGGAAAAAAATCTGGAAACTTCCAGTTAATATTCTAAACATGTTTATAAGATATGGTATCAACAATGAACTTTTTGAGACAGAATTCCATTTCAAGAATTGTATATCATTGAATTTATCATGAATACTCTTATATTCAATTATCTAATCATTATGTTAATAAATCCTATCTGCAAAGATAGACATGATAGAATTGATATATCTAAATTATTTCATTCTAAGACAAAAAAAAGTCATGGTAAATCCATGAACCAAGAAAGAGATTAGAAAATAGTGATAGATCTTTAGGAGAACCTTCATGTTGTACTAAATCATTCACAACAGACTCTCATTACATGTAAGAGTAATAAAGTAATGATTACTATAGTCACTTCCTAAAACTTAAAAATGTTTCCTGTAACGATGTTTTCTAGGCTATTAGACAGTATCCACGGTGATATTCTGGCCAATTTTACAGTTCTCTTAATACAATGTTTCTATAACAGGTACCCAAGGAATAGTTCAATGAATGTGTGAAGGAGTCAGTAATGAATAAACCTTAAACTAGTTTAAATAAGTCTTAAACTAGTTTAAGATTCAGTAGCCTTCCAGCCCCAGCTCTGCCAGTAATTATTATGTGACTTTTTTGTTTTTGAGAAAAAGGAAAAAGGTTTATTTCTTGGCTAGCAAAGGAGAAACACAGGGGACTCTTGTCCCATAGGCTATGAGTCTACTACTATGTGATATTGAGCAAGTCACTTAAATATATGAATTTGATGTACTTCTGAATTTCTTCAGCCCTTTAGGCCTTTGTTTTTATGACACTGACATTCTGACCATTCTTCATGGGTATAAGAAAATGAAGACAAACAGCAGGGGGCAGCAGAATACTTTGGATTTTACATTTTTTAGCTCCAAGTACCCTTCAAAAATTCTGAGAAATTTCATCTATTCCAACCTTTAAACAGCTTTTAAAAATCCATCTAACAGCCTAGATGATTCTGTCAGTGTCTTCATTATTGACAGTCACAGGGGCTTATTTTGCAGTCTTCAAATCAGATATGATTGACAGGGTAAATTGAAGGCACCACAAGAATCTTTCAGTTTAAGTTGAAAAGAATAATATATTCAAGGATATTATTATAAATGAAAATTAAAACTCTCATCAAATAATATACTGGGCTTTTAGTCCACAAGTCCCTTTTCTACACAGCTCTCTTGCTTTTTGGTTTACCTTGGTTGATGTTTTAATTCAAGCTACACATCACAGAAAGATGGTTGTTAAATAAATGAACATACAATTGGTTTCATATAATTAATTTGCCTGATGGTTCCAGGTTATGTAGTGATTTTTCAGTATAACCATGGTTACTTCCAAAGAGATGTATGATTTTTGAGGGTGCACATTTTGGAATTTTTTTTTCCAGTTTCATGTCAGAAAAAAAAAAATGATGCTGCCTTAAGATCACCACGGGGGCAGTATAAAGGAGAAAAAAATGGATGTAAAAAAAGACTTGGTAAATACATCTGCTGTAATTCCTAAGGCAACATCCCTGACAAGATGTATTATTTATTCACATTTGAGTTCAAAGTTTAGAAGTTGACACTGTGCTCTGTGAAATGCTTAACATGCTAAAAACTGATAATATTATGTCTTCAGCCCATTTACCTTAAAATATAACAAATGTTTCTCAATTTTTATGTCATATAGCAAATGCATACTGCTTCTGTATGAGAAGAGATGATGGCAGAAAAGTTCTTGAAACTTTAATACTGGTTTGGAAGTATGAATATATTTACCTGCTGCAAAAAGCATGACAGCAACAGGTCTGTAGAAGCGCCTTCGAGATCCCACGCAGATAGAAATCAAACCCACCAGGAATGCAATGAGAATGATGGCAGCACCACCCAAGAGTAAAGCCAGAGTAGCAATCTGCCAGTCTGGAAAGGAAAAAAAAGAAAGGCATTGCTTTTAAGCATTAAGTCCTCAAAGAATCAACAGAACTAACTTAGCAGCCTTCACCTTGCTGCAGTTCAACAAATGTGATTTCACTGCACGATAAGCATCCTCTGGGGTTTGAAATGTTTTGCAACAAAAATTAATATTAATGTCTTTATTCAGAAATGGCTCCTATGCTAAGCTCAGCAGAGTTTTTAGACTAGGGGTTTGCCATGCTTTTCTTCCAAGCACTCTTATTAAGCATTCGTGTTAAATCGAGTGTTCCCTCCATGACCTATTTTCAATATTATTAAGATTTAAATTTTTATTGATCTATAAAGCTCACAAATCTTAGAGGAAAAAAATAAGGATGAGGATTAGTAATATATATGTATATTAATGTAATGACCATCCAGATTAATGAACAAGAAAGTTCCCATGTCCCTTGCCAGTCAATAACCACCATCCCACCTGGGTAGTGATCACATCTATCACCATGGATTAGTTCAGTTTGCCTGTTTATAAATAATATTATAAACACTTTTATGTGTGACTTTTAAATCTCTAAAATTCATCCATGTGGTTGTGTGTGGCAGTAATACATTCTTTTTTAGTGCTGTTCCTTCTTAGAAAGCGCCTTTGACCTCATAAAAATTCTCCAAGTTTTTATTTGCCTTCCCTCAACCACTAAAACAATTCCCCAGCCAATTAACTTCAGGAGGATTTGTGCTATTTGTTTGTTTGTCCTTTCTTTTATTTCATTCTTATCTCACTCTCGGATTTACTACTACAAGAGTAGTTTCTGAAATTAGGTATTCCTACGGAGTGAGAATGGATTAAAAAATGGCTGCAGGACCCCCTCTCTTCATGTACAGATGAAACAGCCTATATTGACCACTTAGTATATGCAAGCATTATGGACACATCAACTGAGTCTCCCACACACTTCATAAAAAGTAAACCTCAATGAATATTCTCATTTCTTACAAAAAATAAAGAATTAGTTATGGTATGACAGAAAACTGGCCCATTTTCCTTTCCTAAGGAAGGTAGAATGTTCTCTCAGAAGAAGCAATGTGAAATTATGAAAGCACTACTCAAGCATTACACTATACAGTGGTGGTTCTAAGTCCCAGACTGCCTCTTCTGGCCCTTAGTTTAATGAATATGTAGGAAATGCAAATACATTTTAATCTATTGTTAAATTGCAACATATTATAGTCAAAGTGCAGACTCATGATATTTTGATGCTTTCTTTTAAAATTATCCTTCTAAAAAGCTTCCCAAGTAGTCAAGCATGACCGTGCACTCCTATAATACCAGCTACTTGGGAGGCTAAGACAGGAGGATCACAAGTTGAAGGGCAGCCTAGACAAATTAGTGAGACTCTGTTTCAAAATTAAAATATAAAAAAGCCTATGAGCATAGCTGGGTAATAGAGTACTTTCCTACCATGTGTGAAGCCCTGGAAAATACCAGAAGCACAGAGAGGGGATGCAGGGGGGGGGGAGGTGCACGTGGAAGTGGAGGGAAAGCTAACTTCCAAAGTATACTTTTCCACACTCTTTCCTAAGAAATCCTAAATTTTTTTTCACTAGTACTTAACTAGAATTTAAACAGCAATCAGGAAACAAATAAATAAGGGGAAAATAGAGAAATCCACACTTCTTAAAAATATAAAGATGAATCACAAGTAAGTAGAAAGCAGTTTTATGCCATCTATTTGTAAGAAAGTCATATAACTTCAAACAAACGTGTATCTGGCTTTTAACTAGAAGTTAAAAGGATAGCCATACTATGGCTTTTTTATTCCCGAACAGCATGTAGCTTTGAATTAAAAAAAGCCAAAAGAATAATCCTTACACTTGGAAGCCTCTAAATTTCTTTGGAAAAGTTTATACATAGAACATTATTTAATATATTGGAAATCCTTCTGAAAACTTGTGTGTAAATTGAAATTTCTGAAAGAAAAAAAATCAAAGTTTAATTATATCAAAGCATAGAGGGTACAAAGAAAAGAATAAAATCTACCCATCCATCCATCCATCAATGTAATTCCTGGAGAGTTCGGTAAGAGCACCTATGCTAGATACTCTTTTAATTATCTACTACTTTTATAAAATGATTATTATTTAACAACTTTCAATAAATTACTTCATGTAGATTTTTTAAAGTGTTAGTTTCATTTAAACTAATATAAAACTAAATCTCTACCCATTTAAAAATATCTTAAAATAAAACTGCAATTAGTTGCTTTTTCCTGATAAAAATAAATAATTTTGGCTTTTTGGTCATGGTCTCCATTGTATCTATTTGACTTTGACATGTAGCATGAAAACAGCCATACAAAATATGTAAACAAAGGAACATTGCTGTGTTCCAATAAAAGTTTATCTATAAAAACAGGTGGCAGGCTAGTTTTGACCCTGTGGTTGGGTTATTATTTGGTGCTTCCTGGTCAATGTTTCATTTTCAAATGTTCAGGTAAAGGTCTCTCAAATAATAAAAATCACATAATAAAGTTAATTTGGATAAATGAGTAATATAGAGTACAAAGTGATGTTTATCCAAAATAGCAATAGAAAGTAACAACAAAAAGTGCTAATTTCACACAATGTTAAATTTCCTCCAAATAGCGATACTTTATTTCATATGGAGAAGCAATAAAATGCCATAGTAGAAAACACCTGGAAAATAAATGTTATTAAAAGGCACTAGAACTTTATCAGGAAAGGAATCTCTTATAGCACAGGGAATAATACTTGTAAAAAGTAGGTGAACACAAGCAGTTCATGTTTTCTACTAAATGTTCTATATATTTAGTATTGAGTTTGTCGCTAATAAGAAAGTCACTCTAGATACAACGTCAACAAGGACAGTCACCAGTATCATCACTGCTGTGGTATTGCTACCCTTCCCTTTGATCTACAACCAAAGCTTCAACTACTCAAACAGAAAAGCTGTTTTATTTTCCGAGACTAGAAATGTCCATGAATGCCACTGTCCTAGCCAGAAGTTGTGCTTAGACTGGACTACTGAGACTATATTACTGGTGGACAAGTGCCAAGTTTTAGCATTATTGTCACATACACTTGGAAGGACTCAGGCTGTTTGTGTAGGACTAAAACTTTAAATAGCTGCCTACCTTAACCTCAATTAGAAAGCAAAGAATTTGGTTAAATATGGCTATCATAGACACGGAGGCCTAGGGTGCTTTTCAAGGTTCAGCCTGGGCATTTTGGAGCTGAGAACAGGGTTTGTGGCATCCTGTCTCTTTGAGAATATAAGCAGAATTCACTGTTTAAGCATTAGAGTCAGCCTGACAGGTGAACACAAAGTCAGAAACTGTGTAGATTGGATGGTTACCATTTCCTTTTTCTTACTGAACAAGACTAGGATATGGGGGAAAAAAGTAAAACATATTTTAATGATACTTAGCACTGGCTATTAAAATAATAGACTGGGCTTCCCATTACTCAATCGAAGCCCAGGACTAGCTTTAGCAAGAATATGTACATATAAAATGTTTTATTATATTCTACAGGACTTGGAGAATTTTAGAGGCATATTATATCTGTACCCAAAGGGTTTCTCCATTAAGGTTTGCATACAAATATTTGCTATCTCATATTCAGTGTCTGTAAAATAAATTAAAATTATGATATATAATTCTCAATTTTCAGCCCTATTTCTTTAAAATGTCGTGTATCTTAATTTCTCATCATCAGTTCATTTCTGTACCAGTCTTAATCCCCCAATGAAAGTCCTCACAGTATTTAGTCAGATGAAGTGTTAAGAGTCCTCAGAGATTTATTACTCTGCATTAGTTTTCCAGTTTTGTAAGTGATGTACTTATACTATAGTAAAGCAGTAAACATAATCCAGCCTTGAACAACTTCAATAGCCATGGTGCTGTTTTACAAATTGCAGTGTTCTGCACAATTAAAACTGGCCATTGTTCAATGTTAGGCCAGTTGATTGGAAATCTAAATTTGTTATCCAAGATGTAGGTGAGCAGGTGGTAATCAGTTTTGAGGAAATAATGTGTTGCCTTTGTTTATAAGCTGGTGAGGGCTCAGATGGGCAGGGTAGCATGTTTTGGATCTGGAAACCAAATCTGAAATGAGGCTGCCATATTACATGTCAGATTCCCTCAAGATTATTTTGGCAAAACTGACAGTATCACACTGGAGACTTTGGAACTGAACCTAGAGAGGCTGACGTTCAAGAAAAGTACATTTACATGTATTCCCCCACGGTAAGAAGATAAAAACCAGGCCATCCCTATATAACATTAAATTTAACATTAATATGCAACTCAGGAACTAAAGTAGAGTCCTCTTTCAAGGTATTTGTATTAGCTGGCATCAGAGTTTTCTATGTCTGTAAATGCTTTAGTATTCTGCAGAATTATGCTGACTTACTTAGTATAATATGTGAGACTAGGCTGAAATAGCCACTGCATTATGAAAATTCTATGGGCTGCATTAAAACTCTTTTTTTTTCCTTGGGGAATTCACATTCAAAATCCACTTACTTTAAGGAAAGGCAAAAATCTTAATGAGGGTACATTTTCCACATTTTGAAGCCAAAGTCAGAGCATCACACACCAGTGCCTAAAGCTTTTCTCCTCCATCCATCTCGTTTCCAAACATTTAACTTATCAAACACTGGCTAATTTATTTATTTCTGTAGAATTGTTTATATGCTGAGATTAGTTCTACTATATGTAAATCCCTAAGCACACAATTGCTACTTCTTTTAGGAAATTAAATATGATTAAAAATAAATGAAAAAACAGTTTTTTTTAACCTTTAAATTCAAGTTCCACTGTTTGTGTGGATGGTATTTCCTTCAATGTATTCATGGTTTTAATGGATGATTCTCACTTCTGTAATTCCCATTACAAATCAAAACATGAATTTTAAAAAAAAGGTTTATAATCACATTCAAATTTGTCAGATAGGCACTAGTATCTTCATCTTTGAACCCCCCCCAAAGGAAATT